GATGCAGTGCCCTCACAAGCTGTACCTGGATTTAAGGCAAAGTTAATATGTTAACAAGTTTTAAATACAGGGGAGCTAGTGGGCCCTTTGGGAGGTTAGTGATTTAAAGGTCAAATCTGCATATTTCAATTGTTACCAATCATATGGACTATGCTGCCCTATCAGCATAAATAAATAAACTATCGGTTTGCCAACAATTTTTAATTTAGTACTCAGTTCGCATTGCCAAGCCAGCCACAGACGTCGTGTTTTTCTCTCCCACCCACCCCACCCTCTTTTACATGGGTAGATCATGATATTTAGCATGGGTGTGCGATTCTTTTTTTTTCTAATTCTTGCAATGTCAAAGCCAGTTGGTTGCTTTTTCTTACTTTATGGATCCAAGACATCTATGTGTATGTGTGTGTTATTCTCTTTGACCTCCCAAACTGCCTGTCCCTATTGCTGCGGTACAGTGCCCTCACAAGCCATACCTGGATTTAATGTCATTATTAGTTTTGTTTTGTTTTATTGAAAAACTTGAAATTGCTCAGAACATAGCTCCATGCTCAGAAGGAATTAAAATGGTTGAACTAACTACGAGAACGCATATTTAAAACATTATAATTGTACAAAAATTACCATCTAAAGCACGACATGTTAATTTGCCAGAAGATGTTGCTGTCTAAGGTTTGTGTTATTTTTGATAAATTGAATTATTTTTTTAATATAACTTATTAATTAACAAAACACTTTCCTATATAAAATTGATTATCAGAATATGACATAGTACTGAAAGTATTAATAACCTTGAGTTATAGTTTGTATTCATGAATATATCAATTTCTCACAAAGTCAAATTGACGAATGATCGGACAAATTACATCAGGTGATAACCTCGTAATAGCAGATGATTCTTTATCTTCCCACCCCACCCCACCTCACGATCCAACACCTTATTTTCAAATTGTGGGCCCCTTTAAGTTACAAAAGGGGTGATTTTGGTCGCTATATTTACTATAACTTATCTTGAATGGTGAGTAACATTTAGTTGACTAGAAAAGGTTGGTACACTACTATCAAATTTCAAAAATGTGGGCCACCATAAGGACGAGAAACAACTGCCACTGCCGAATCAGTGTTCACTTCTCGACTTACACTAGCTGTGGAATCATAGCCCCCTGAGGGCCGTTTTTGGTCGTCGGTATCTGGCTGGCCCGCAGTATCTATATTCGACTTACAATACAAAATTTGAAAAGAAGACGTCCAAGTAATAAAGAAAAAGGTAAAACAGTTGTCAGTCGCAAGATAGAGCTACGGATCCGCAGCTAGACTTACACATGCATGATGAACTTGGTGTTGTTTCTCTTTGGCGGGAAACACTATTTATTTTGTATTATTAGAAATCCTACCTGCAGTTACAAATTCGTTGTTTTCTAGTACATCTTGGGCAGTATCATCTGGGTCAAGTAAGCTCCCTGCCTGACTCAACCGAAGTTCAGTAACTTTTGCATTTTCTATTAAACTGGCATTGCATTTTGGTTTGTTTTTTCTATAACGACGCAGTGCCTCTTCGCCGAGAGATTCTACAGTTGTATCGCCTTTGATTGGTACGACGACCCAGTCATCGTACACTCGTACAGATACCTTCATTTCGTTGTGACGGCTTCAATAAAAAAACCGGGATAAGACAATTTGGTAATAGTAGACACAGTCTTATCGAACTACGATAGGTGATGCAGAGCGTTGTTTGCGTATAAATGTGTGTTGTTGTTGATTTGTCAAACTGAGGCTGGGCGTTATAGAGGGCACGGTTCGAAGCGAGTGATTCATTGGACACATCGTGTCACGTGGTCAGGTCCATTGACGTTCCTGCTTATGACGTGTGACATACTGGCTGGAAAACAACTTCTCTCTGTTTTCTGTGTTGATTCTATTTTTCCCAATCTACCGTCTCCCCAGTTTCTCATAGTCAAATTCAGTATCTTACATACATACATTCATTCATTCATT